TAAAAAACAGAGGCAAATACGTCCCCCTGGGAAGGGAGCTGAGCTTCCCTCCATCTTATGTTTGCATGGTGATTCATATGATAAGGGCATGCAGTTCTCTCCTCATGATGGAGGTTGAAAGGAGGTAGTTCAATAGATGGATGTGACATAACATAAAATCACGCTTAGTTTCTACATTACGTTTTAAGTCATCTCTGACTTTGGAGGAGCTTCCAGGATAGCTTTCAGAGAGCCTGTGAGTTGCCAGTGTTGTATTGTAGGAAGGGGGAGTGGGGGCTAAGGTGGAGAGTAAAGTGTCATAAGCTCACCTGGGAACTATGCACCAGAGCATTTGCTCTGCCACACTCAGTGGCAGAATTACTGATAAAATACCATAGCTCGTTGTCGTGAGACTTTGACAATATTTGAATATAGGCGTAATTTTGGCAACTAATGAGCTTACAAGTAGATGGAAATGTTGTTCAGCAGCAGAGGTATTACAGCAATTACTTTAGTTCTTTTCTTTTCAATGCACGCATTAAGAAAGGCCTGAAGAATATAACAGTATTCTCTTTTCAGAATGGGATGCATTAACACACAATAAGGGAGCAGGGCATGTGGCTCAGACCAGTAAATGTCATTAATGGATAGTTCGATGAATGACATGCCCTACTGATAAGGCTCAATACAGAGAAGAAATAAGCAGAAAAAATGAGTGCTTTAGTGGCTGTGTAGAATTGCTCAGACCATCACCCGTACGTGATGTAACTGTTTAGAAGAAACAATCCATAGATGGATCAGAAAATGTACAAATCACTAGCTTATGGGTAGAATCTGTGCAAAGACAAGCAGTTTTGGCCTTTGCACTCTCAGTACATGAAATTTGGTGTCACATGGCTTCTTCAAGAGGCTACGTAGTTTGGTGGTTATTTCTCTGCATCAGCCAAAGGACCTGTATTGTGTGGGAATGGTACCAGTTCCTTTGTACCTACAAAATGCTTCACTGGTTATGGATTTTATGTATTCCTGGCTAAAGGTGTTTTACAGTGTTGGCACAGTGTCGTTACAGGAAAATCCACAATGTCCAATGAGAAAAAACGGGGACAACTTTCATTTTACTAGGGGAGCCACAGGAGAGCAGCATTGTTGGTGTTCACAGAGCTGCTGAAGATGACAGGATATCTGGAGCATACTGTTTTAGTGAATCACCTCAGCAGTTTCTTCCAATGTAACTCCTATGGAGCAGAGGGCAAGAAATTAAAGATATTCCTCTGCTAATGGAGAGCACTGTGGAAGCCCTCCTTGCCCTCCTTTACAGTACTCTCCCAGAGGTACAGAAGACCTTGCTAGGGCAAGAAAACATAATTTAAGTCTTCCTACATTAGCACTAATGAGACTGGCCCATGATTCTCTTCTTAAAGAGACACTTTCATCGATCAAGCATTCCCAAGCCATTGTATTTTACAGCATGGAGCAGAGATTTTCACTGTTCAGACCACTGTGGGTAGAGGAAGAAACATCCTTTCCATGTACGCACGCACACTTACATACACACTTACACTTCTCTCTCTCTGTGTATGGCATGTAACATTTTATGCATAAAATAGCATAATATAACAAAAAACAGATGTGAGCGCTGAAGTCTAATCAAACCAAAGCAACTTCTAGAGAAGGAAAATACTGTAATACACGTTAAAGTATTTAAAATATGTTTTAAATACATCTGTTCTATTACAAACTTTCTATCCATTTTACAGCAATATACATCTCTCTCACTTTTTTAGTGCTGTAAGCTAAAGCTGTACCATTGCTGGACAAAAAAAGACATGTTGCTGAGTCGAGCTTGCTATTTTCTTCTTTTGGGAATGCGTCAACGTTGTACTTCAGAAATGCATGTGGAAATTTTTATATTTCAGAAATGTTTAGCCTGATTTCAGTTTTGTTTTACTCTGTTCCTAAATTTTTAATAAGAGATTTGCAGTAGTTGTTCCCTTCTTTTATCTGAGCTAACAGGGAGATAACTTATCTGCTATGTTAGGTCACTGGGAACTGTCTTTAGCAATGCATATTGGTAAATATTGTAGCCCAAAAACATTTTTCAGCACTTTAGAGTTATTGCTAGACTATTGACTTTTTTAAGGCACTGATTTTAAATTACATGTTACTTTTTAAAATAAGCTACTTGTCAAGACTGCAAGCTACCGAATATACGTTACCCTTTATGAAGCAGAAATAAATGCTGGTTTCCTCCATATCTTAAAATCCTGAGTAGAAGAGAAATGTGCGCTCTGTAAGTGTTTTAGGCAATCTCTGAGGTGCTCTGCAGGCTGCTACTTAAATTTTAGAAATGGTAAATTCAGCCTTGCAAATCAATATTTTGTGAAAAATACTTCAGTTTGACCTAATGATTACTCCCTGTTTTCTTCATCAGGAAGGTGGAGAGTGAGGATGCATTGAATAATCCTCAGCACAATATATTGTCTGATTTTTTTATATCATTTTGTCTCTGGAAGATTAGTTCAAAGACGTTACGTCCTCAGCAGAAATACAGAAGGAATTTGCCACCTTGTGCTGAATTTTAGCATATTTTTCTATAATGCTACCTCAGACTAAGAGAAGGGTTTGGGAAGAAATGTGTTAGCCAACACATTAAGTATGTAGCTTCCATTTGACATTTAGCAGATATTTGCATTCATCAAGGGGAAAGGTTATGCCAAAACCTTTTGACAGTCTCCTAAAAATTTCTCATTCCCACTTACATTATAAACTGTGTGTCAATAAATGCTAAGAGAAATTTGGCCTTTTTCTGTTGACATTCAAAGAATTCAAAATATCTCATGTGAATGTCTTAGTTGCACTAAGATAATTAGAAGAGGTTGGCAGACATTTTGCCTCATTTTGTGCCATTAGTTCCCAAGTGGAAAAGCAGTTAATTTCCAGTGCTCAAAGTTCAAATGAACACAGTAATTTACACTGAATTTCTTTTTTTCTGTATGCCTGATCAACCAGACTTTCAAAACACAACAAGACAGATTTTATCAATTTGAGAGCTAGCAGTTGGGAAAAGACATTTCAGAGTGTGAGAAAAATGGATTGCAGCAGCGCTTTTCACAACTGTGTACAGCTAGCCGAGCTTGAAAGAAGTCACGGAAAGCCTGCAGGAATGAGTTCTTATATCCTGCCTCATTAGATCTGCGGCCTGATGGTCCTTCTCTGCGACAGCTGCCCATTGTCATGAGTCCTCCTCACCAATGGCGTAATGGCTATTCTGAAAACAGGGGAGTTCATACCTGGTTTATCTCTCTCTCTTGCTCCGGGATGGGCATGTACACAAACTTACATCTTTGACCAATGCCTTTGCCCTTAGGAGGGGTTGCTGTCGCTTCTTTAAAGATAAACTTTCTTGCTCCAGCCAGCATGTGCAATGATAAAAAGAAAGGCATCAAACTAACATATTAACCATCACAGATACCTTTCCTTGCCACTCAGAAATAAGACATTGACAAGGGAGTAAAAATACTGCTAAGGAAGTCAGTGGGCTGGCGCACATTGAAACCATCTTGAAGAACTTTTTTTGCTTCTTGGTTCTCAGTTTAGAAGAGCAACCAGCTTTTGATTTGCTGAAGGGTGAGGACAAAAGAAACATTTCGATAAAGCCAAGCAGCTCCGTTTTCTCCCGAAGCTAAAATACAGTTATATGAATGTTCTGCTACGGGTCTCCTTCGATCTTAACTGTTGATGGTATTCAAATGTACTGTAGAGAATATTCAATTTCTAGTAATCTCATAGGCAAGAACAGAAAAATGCACTCCTGTTTCTGAAGTACATAACCTCTTTTGATTATCTCTTTTGATTAGCCTTTGGTTATCTCTTTTGATAAATGAATATTTGAGTATTGCTTGAAAAGTTGGTTTTATAGTCTTTTCAGGAGTGATTGACAGAAACCAATCTTAGATCAATGCCCTGGTTGTTAGAGTGGTCCTTGAGAAGGGGAGAAGATTTAAATTCCTTTGGCTGGGGTAGGTATATGATTATATGTATTTTATTATACAGGTATTATATTATATAGGTATATATATCTACTGCATTGTCAGTAAATGTTTCAGCTGTAACCGGGTGAAATTTAAGCACCCCCATTACTTCCTGCACTGTTTATTGAATACAGGCACTGTTCGCTTTGTTTTCATTAGAAGTACATGTCAACAAAGATTTTATTAAAAGTGGAATTCTTGCCATTGGCAGAAATGGAGAGCGTTTATTTCCCTGTTTTTTGGTTCAGCCATAGAATAGTAAGTTAAAATAAGAGAGACTATTGCCCAAACAAACAAAAAGTCTCCCAAACAGTTAGCGGGAATTAAATTACACCAGCTTGAAAGTTTACGCCTTGTACTGGCCCTCTGCTTAGAAATCAGTTTTACCTTCAGTTTGATATCCACAATACTGTGTATGCCTTTGATTTCAGACCTCTAAAATAATCTTCTTGAAAATCATGCCTTGAAACTCTAAGAAAAAAGTTCCTGGAACAGTTATACAAGCTTCTACTCTATTTCATCCTGTCCCAGAGACAAAGGCGTCTCGCGGCTGGAACACTGTTCCAGATTTATTCTGTGATCCTAAGCAAAGCCCTCAGAGCAGATCCTGAAAGCTGCTGAGCTCTTCCTGGACTCTGCAGGCAATCTCTCTTGTAAAAGATCTGAAGAATCAAGAGTTAGCAGTGTATACGGTTTTTTTTAAGAGATGCTGAATACTCTTGCAGGAACCGGTGGTGTTTGGTATCTCTAGAAGCCAGAGATTTCACTGCTTGTCCTCTCCACTTATGCATCTAGCAGCTGAGAAAAATAAAGTCTATCCTGGAAAGGTATTTGTAAAGGATGTGATTTTTAGCTAAAAGATGCCCTATAGCTATCGAAGGTGTTACTGTTACATATTCAGCATGGCACGTACTAAATATCTGCCCCATTACATTATTTGCAGAAATGAGACTGTATCTGCAATAACTCCTCTTTTCTCTTCTGTTTCAGTTCCGCCTTTTATTCAGCCTTTTGAGTTCCCAAGGTTCTCCATCGGCCAGCGAGTCTTCATTCCCTGCGTGGTGGTCTCAGGGGATTTGCCCATCACAATCACCTGGCAGAAGGACGGCAGGCCTATTCCAGCCAGCCTTGGGGTGACGATTGACAACATTGACTTCACCAGCTCCTTAAGGATTTCTAATCTTTCACTGATGCACAATGGGAATTACACCTGTATAGCTAGAAACGATGCAGCAGCTGTGGAACACCAAAGCCAATTAATTGTGAGAGGTAAGTAGATGTAATTAGTTTGAAGGGCACCAATTGAGCAGAATTCATCTGTATTTTCTAATGATAGCTGTCTGATGGGAAGTATAAAATACTGGAAAATATGTTAATCCTTCTCAAAGAACACACAGAACAAGGGAGCACAGAAACTAATAGGACTTTTCTATCTGAAAATAGTGAGCCTTGAACATAATCAACAACCTAGAGGGCACTGGGCAGATGAGGGAGCCACAGGATTTACTTTCTGGAAAATTTGATGTGATAAGATCTGTTAGAGAGATACCTAATCTCTGGTAGCTTTCACCTTTTAAGTCACACCTAAGCCAAGACTTTTCCCTTGGATCATCATGGGTTTATTTATGTCTTGTGATGTATTTTCAAACTTATTGTGAACAACTTTAACAACCCTCCCCCTCCTTTCTTTTGAAAGTTTTTCAAAGTGTTTTAAATAAGATTGTAATACTCTTCCCTCCCCACCATCTCCTTTTTGCTACCAAGCCATTAGACTGCTCAGAGAAAGAGGGAGCTTACTGGAGATATAATACTGTAAGGGAGGCTAGATATTTGTAGCTGTTTCATATCACTACATCTTATATTCCCTTCCGTAAGTTTATCAAGATAATTCTTAAAATCACTTAGGGCTTTTTGCCACCTTTGCCAGGTCTTTTTTCAAAAACTCATTTGAAGCAAAACATCCTGAGCAGCTCTTCCTTTTAAGTCAAATCTTCACGTTGTCCTAGGACCATCATTAACGCAATATTCCCTCGTTTTCATTTTCTGCCTACAGAATTTGTATGCTGATTTTCGTTATGCTAGTATTCCTATAACTCAGCTACAAATGGGCCTATTGCTTTTTCACTAGTTTTGATATGAATATGACTTTAATGATTGTTTTTAATTTTTCACTGCTTTTAACTACTTTTTAAATATTACTCAGTATAGACATTTATTACTTTCCCCACCTATGCAGTAATTCTTAAGTGAAATAGTTTAATTAACTGCATGCACTTAATTATTTTTCCTACACTGTTCTGTTGGCTTTTAACCCTAGCAGATCATTCTAGCAGAAAAAGAAGAATTTCCTCACCTTCTCTTTTCCCGGAGAAGGGAAAGTTCACAACCTCCTGTTATAGCAGAAAGTATACTGAGTATTTCTGCCCTATGTAGAAATGCCCCACCTAATAACAGAAGAGTTAACTAGTTGATTTGCCGCTATGCTCAGTGCTTAGAGTAATGGAAAAGAATCATTTTAGCAACTCTGTACGAGTTCCTATAGGCATTGCATCAAAAGAGGGATAGATAGTAGGGTGATCTTCAAGATAAGAAGCTGACACAGGATGTGGCTTGCTGCAGACATTGGCTATCCTATTTTCAGCGCCAAGAACCATGAGGCAATAACAGCTTGTGAGAGCCCAAGTACAGGCATTTCTGCTCTATGCCCCATTGATTGGGACGAGTCTTGCTGGGGTTACTTCAGCCTGCCCGCAGCAGGCAGGCTCTCGCCCTTGCGCTCCTTCTGCCACTGTTTGGCGTTTACATGGTTTCCCCTGCTTTTTTTTCTGCCTTCTCCCTTACCTTCCCCTCCAAGTGGGGGCTTTCAGGAAAGCCTGCTCTAGCTGCCACTTTCATGCTGCTGATACTGAAGCTTCTGTTTTCCCTGTGTGTTTTGTTGCCCTAAGTGCACCTCCTGGTCGAAGTCCTGCCCCAGTTGATGGTGGGATGACTGCTGTTGGGTGCGCGTGCCTAGAGGGAGTCCTCACAAACCAATGGGACTGATAGGGGGTAGCTTTTCACACTGTTTCCCCCAAGGCCAGGAGAAGCTTTCTGGAGTCCTTGTGCTGCAAAGTTTTACAAGGCTGTGAGGGCTATTTCATTTTCCCCCTCTTCCTTATCCTTCTGCCATGGCTGTTGCTCTGCAGCAGCCTTCTTTAAGCTCCTCTCCTCTGCTCTCCTCTCTTATCTCTGTCAATTTAAATGGTAATAACTTAATCAGTTTTCCTTCTACATCTGGGATAATAGCTCTCCTTCATGGAGAGGAACGAAATAAAATCTGTTATTTGACCTGAATTTTCTGCCCAACCCGGAACTGATCTCCTCCCCTCCTATTGAACTGCTTCAACTATCTCATTCCACATAGGTCAGAAGACAGCCATTCGAGGGTTACTTTTGGTCACTGCCAACTTGCATCTAACCTGACCTATACACATTTAAGTAAAGACCAGATTTCCTGATTTCTGTTTCTTCTGGGCCTTCTGATTTATTCTCACCTTTTTGTTCCTATTATGAATGCCATCTAACTTTAATATAGTATTTTTCTAAATCAGCGAAGCAGTTTTCCTCTAAATGAAGGGAGAATAAATGGTGCTTAAGTTCCTCTTGTTTCTAATCCACATTGTGAGATGGTTTCTCAGCAGCATGCTCTAAACGTAAACGTGGGCTTTTCTAAATGTCAGGGATGGGTTCTGGAAATGTCTTTTTTATGTTAAGTGTGTGGGTTTTGATATGACAATAGACAGTGCGTGAGAGAGGAAAGTAAAGAAAATAAGACTGTTCCCCACAAAGTTCCTTTTCCCCTATTTATGCTAGTGGTGTTTTCTTTTTAAAAGTGGACTAAAAATGATGAAGACTATCATATTTCCAAAATAAGGAGTATAAAATGGCAAAAGAAAAACAAACATTGGGGTCTTCATGTTTGTAGGCACATTACAGTAAATCCTCACTGTTGCTACTGTTAATTCGGGCTGTATAAAAGCAACCAAATGATGATAAGGAGACCTAAAAATACCTGGCAAGCAATGCTGGATTTTGCCTGGTTTAGCAAAGAGGGAAGATGACCTGTTTCCACAGAGCCTCCTCGCAGAGCATCTTACAGGGGATGGAAAGGGCCTGCTAAAAGAAAGAAAATGAGGCAGAAAGCTTTTGAACAGCTAGGCAACCCTGGATAGGAAGCTCTGAGAGCAATCCCAGTTCTGGTGGGTTCCCTGTCGTAGTTTCCTTGGTGAGGAGGTGGAAATGAGACTTTGTAGTCACATGCTTTGGACATAGGTCTGTCAGTACATCTCTCCTCCACTACTTACTGGCCAGTTCAGACAAATTTGAAGAAGTGAAAATGCCTCAAGTGGAACTGAAAGTCTAAAAAGTTAACTAAAAGAGTTAATTGATTATAAGCACCTTTACTAAGTGTGAAACAGCATAATGCTAGACACCAGAGAATCTAGTCTGACAAGCCTTTCTGCAAACACAAGAAATGCTCCAGCTGGAGTTTGTGCTCAGCCATGAAATACAAATCCATGGAAAATTAGAGTTGGTTAGTCCTAATGTTTACAGAATATCTTTTAAAAGAGGTCATTATTCAAGGAGAAGCCCATCCTCTCTTTACTGCGTCTAGGGACTACAGATAGGTGGTCCAGGTGAGTGAAAATTGAGCTTTCACTTGTGTAAGCTTATGCTGCACTGGCTCCTTGTACTTCCTCTGGAAAGGCTTAAAAAAAAAAAAGAAAAAAAAAGAGGAGATCTCAAAAACCTGTAAATCATTATTATTTTGATTATTTTATTTCTTGTTACACTCATGGTTTGCTAGGCATCCTTTCATGCTAGGCACATTTCTTTAACAGGAAAGAAAGAGTAGGATCCTGTCATGAAAACTGTCTGTGGAAGTTAGGAAAATATCTTTTCTGTCAACTCCTTATATCACTGTATGGAATTAATTAAAGCTTTATTAATTAAGACTGTCTTCTAAAGAGTGATTAAAAATCTATAGACACTTTTTCATGTATTATTCATTTTGATAGAGTTTCCTAAGATGGGAATGAAATAATTATGAAATAAAGAGTAGTGTAAAAGATTTTAATTGGTAACCAAAAGGAAAAAGCTCATGAATGTGTTATGAGTACAGAAATTCTCAGATACTACGAGAACAGAGAATTCAAAGATAACAGTGGGTGCATAAATCATGATTTTTAAATTCCTTTTAGTGAACACATCATGAGTTTAAACTGAGATAAGGTCTATAAATACCTAATAACCCCCCTTAATGCATTTAGTGTAAATGTGTTTTCATTTTGTGCTTGCCAGATATGTCTTATATCGTTAGATAGTTAAGTACCCAATGAAGAGCCCCTGAGCCTTGAATCTTCCAGGAAGTATCTGTCTGCTCTCTGGTGTCTGGTGGTGGTGGTGGTGGTGTGATGCAGCAAATGCAGTCTATGACAGAAAAGTAGGGGGAATAGATTTATGGTTATAATTGTTGTCAAAAACCATTTACTTTCTTTGCTGGTGTTTACACTCTGGCTTTGAAGGTTATTCTTGAATGATTCACTTCCTATTTAATGTTCTCATTAGGCAAACCTGATCAACATAAACCACTAGGTACTTTCTCATTTTGCAAAAGTACATTTTTTTCTTGAACTGCATAGCAAATGGTTTCACTAAACCAGCTAAATCGACCCCTTAGGTCCAATGACCAAATTTAATAACTGTTCATCTCTGCTAAAGTACAGTGTTTAATGATCTCATTCATTAATACATCAATGGTTGCTTTGGCTGATTAAATTTCTTCCATCATTTTGACAGTATAAGCTAAATGTAAAGTACAAATATTCCGTGTAAAAATGAAACATTGTATTCTGGGCCAATGTCATAGATTATTTCTTAACTCACTCCAGTAGCCCACCAGAGGAGCTCATGTTAGGAGCCTTCAGAATTACTCTCTAGTGTAATGTACTAATCACTGTACAGAGGGGCCAGAAGCACTTCCATAGATTTTAAGTCCAGCAAGGAATGTTTGAATTTGTCATTGGGTCCCTGGCCCAAAACAGAATCAAAAAGGGTTTATGGATTTACATAAAACAAAATTAAGTTAGGGCATGTTGGAATGCACTTATAAATTAATTGTTGTTAATAGCTTGTGAAGTTGACATTGGCAATGATGATGACACTGGGAAGTGGCATCTTGTTAGGGTACCAACTCATCTTATCTCAACTTTTCTCATCTTTTCTCATCT